AGAGAGAGAGAGAGAGAAAGAGACGTAACGATCGGTTACGTAAACAGAACAATCGAATCGGAAAGCGTGGCATGCGCCATTCGATTCCAAGGTCCTGCCAAGTGAAATCTCAGGGTCAGGGACGCGATGATTCGGGTCAATCGTCTTCTCTATCGTTTCTTCTACATTCTTCCTTTTTTCTCCACGGTTGCTCAATCCTCTTGTTAACGCTCTGACAAAATTTCCATTCCCTGCACGCGCTATCTATAACGATAACGATAGATCCGATCGAGGCGATCTCCGTGGATCTTTTGACAGGAAGATCGATTTTTCTTCGAGAGTTATTTTCCTTCCTTCTCTTTTTCCAGGTTCGAGCAAACCAATTCCCGATCCGGAACGTGTCAAGAGGGGGAGGAGACGAGCTGCGTAGGCGGAATAGCGAGAGTTTCCACGGCTGTGAATCGATTGTTGAAGGAGAGGCCGAACGCGATCTTCCTCAACGCTGGGGACCATTATCAGGGGACTCTGTGGTACACCGTTTATCGTTGGAACGTGACGGCTACTTTCATGAACATGCTGCCCCACGACGCGATGGTAAAAAACGAAAATTATCATCTATATACGTGTATGTACATGTACATATAATCGAAGGAGAGAAAAGAGAAGAAAAACAGAGTAGAGAATTCTTTGTCGCTGCTCTGTCAACCAGTTCAGAGCTTCAATTGGGTCAACGAGTTAACAATCGATCGTTTCGCACGATCGTTCGCCTCGTTCTCGATCGAACGAGATTCCTAACGAGATTCCATCCGAATTTCATCGATAAAGTAAGAGAGAGAGAGTGAAGAGGAAGATTTCGATCGCGTGAAAATTAAATTTAATAAAATTTAAAATAAATCGATTCGCACGCGAGATAAGGGGGTGGGATTTACGTCGAGGCAATGAATGAAAAGGGGAAAGAGCGACGATTTCAAAAAAATAGGTCGATTGCAGTAATTACGATAAATATAAAGATAATAAATGATAATTCGTATCTTCGTAATGTTGCCAAAGAAAGGGAACAAAGATTGATAATTTCTTTTTTTTTTTAACTATCTGTCTATCAGAGATATCGTATCGTATATAATTATATCTGTTTCCTTTTTTTCCAGACTATAGGAAATCACGAATTCGATAATGACGTGGAGGGTGTAGTTCCGTTTTTGAAAATGGTCGAGGCACCCGTTGTGGTGACCAATATCGACGCGACCGAGGAACCAACGATGCAGGTTAGGTCCATTTTAATTTCCTTCTCTCTAAAAAGTTTTTTTTTTACGAGAACTGGGAATTGGTCCAAGTTGAGAAAGTGACCCGTTAAAAATAAAAGTTACTTTAAACGATTACTTATTTGAAAATTATTTATTCGTAGCTTTCGATCCGACAGCCAATCGATTGTTTATTGCGCGTTGAACGATAGATTAAAGTAACTAAGTATTCAATCTATTAAATTTTACCCGCCACGAGTATCGTTTAATCTTCAGGGCCTGTACAAGAACAGCACGATCATCGTGAGAAATGGGACGAAGATCGGGGTGATCGGCGTTATTCTATCAATTACAAACGTTGGTACATCTTTGCTTGAATTTCTTTCTTTCCAATCTCTCGTTACATCGTGTTCCTCGTTCAAATCTTCGTTCGCTTAAAGTACGATAATAATCTTCTAAAATTAATAAATTCTATCCGTGTGAAGATATTTTCCTTCCTTCCTTTCTTTCTTCCAAACGTCACGTGTATAAATAACGTATAAAGAAGATCAACGTACGAATATATTTCTCGTTGGAATTACGCGTTTCGATCATCGATTCGACATGTTGTTTCGTCGAAGGGAGGGGGAGGATTGATTGAATCGCGCAACGAATCAAAACGATTACGAAGATTTAACCGGAACGAACGATTAACGAACATTGTTCCATAATTGTTGAAACTCACGGCGTTATATCGAAACGCAACAACACAGAAAATCGCCAATACCGGGAAATTAAAGTTTCTGGACGAGGTGGAAACGGTGAACGAGGAGGCGCGGAGATTGAAATCCCAAGGGGTCGATATCATCATCGTTTTAAGCCATTGCGGGCTGGACGTGGACAGGATAATGGCCGCCAAGTGTCCTTTAATCGACCTCGTTGTCGGCGGTCACTCCCATACCTTCCTTTACACCGGTACATTCATCGACCATTCTTTATTATTTTTAGAAGAGGAAAGGTTAAGGACGAAAAGGTGTAAAGCAATCACTTTTTTTCAGGACCACCCCCCTTCATAGATAAACCTGCGGACAAATATCCGGTGGAGGTGGTCCAGGAGGGGACCAACAGAACCGTGTTGATCGTTCAAGCGGCGGCCTTCACAAAGTTGGTAACTCGTTCTCCCTTGTCTCCTCGTCACTTTTCTTCTCTGCTCTCTGTCCTCTGTCCACAGGTACTTGGGAAACTTGACGGTGTGGTTCGACGGGGAAGGCGAGGTGGTCGATTGGGACGGAAATCCGATTCTCCTCGACAAATCGATCGAGCAAGGTACGAAGAACTCCCTCCCTCTTCGCTTAATATTTCCAATATATTTATATAATATTTCCAATGTAATTTAAATCGTGGAATTAATTTTCTCCATGAAAATATCTGGCAGATCCCGAGATCGTGAAGGCTCTGCAACCGTGGAAGGTGGCCGTGGACGAGCAGGCGAACGTGAAGATAGCTAAATCTAGGGTGTATCTGGACAACGAATGTTGGAGGAAGGAGTGCAACTTTGGAAATTTGATCACGGACGCTATGGTTGACTCCGTACGTGACGTTCACTTTCCCATTCGTCCATCGTTTCTCGTCAAGCGATCGACGTAAAAAAAATAGTCTATGTTATCCTTTTACCTTGTAAATAAATTTCATCGCTGCTTTGCTTCGTAGTACGTGGAGAAAGCGGAGAATAAAACCGTTTGGACTTATGCCGCGGTCGGCGTTATGAATACCGGAGGGATACGCATTCCCATCGACTCGGCAGGCAGATATATTACGTATTCCGATCTGTTGATGGCTCAACCTTTCGAGAACACGTGGGACATTCTCGAGTTAAATGGCAGCTGCATCTTGCAGGTATGGCAAAATTGTGTCAAAAATTCGGGGAAAAAATTAATTTCGCGTCAGGGATAACGGGACCGGGAGGAAATTATTATAAAGGAATCGCTTTTCGCGCAAAGGTACGGCCGAGTTTTTCTTGTCCAGTCGTTTCTTCTGCGCGCTTCTCTATATACAGGCGTGTAACAGGTGTTGCCATGCGTTAGGGGCTCTCTTCTCTCCTCGCCCTCGTTTCTCGAACGGCCAAATATTTGAACTTAATCAATTACATTTGATTGTAACGTTGAATTGAATCGACGAATTATTTCAGATATTGAACATGAAAGAAAAGTTGACGTGGTCGGGGTTAAAAGTGATTTACACCGGCAGTAACAAGATCGTGAAAGAGGTTAAGATAAGGTAAACTTCAAATTTGAATATATCGTTTGCTATCAAATCGTATTGCACGATTCGTTTCATTTTTCCAGATGTCGAGCTTGCGAGGTGCCGAAATTCGAAGACTTGAGGCACGACGAATGGTACAGAATCGTGGTGCCAACGTTTCTTGTCGGGGCAGGGGATGGATTCGTTCCCTTCAAAACCTGCGGAAGGAATCACGAGGTCGGACACTTGGACTGGGAACAATTGGCCAAATATATGAAGAAGGTCAGCCCGATACTAGTCGGGGAGGATCGTCGGGCGATCTTTTTAAACGAAAATGATCCCAGCGAGAAATGATGAATTAATACACAGTATTTTTTTATTATATCGCGCTTGATTTTTGAAGAAAAACTTTGAGATTAATCGAGATTCATCGAAATAAATGTACCGTGCGTTTCATAATTTTGCGTTTCGTCGTTTCGATTGTTTCGTTTCATCCTCGACAAATTTTCCTCGTTCTCGGCAAAAAGTTTGAAGCGATGCGCGGTATCTTTGTGAAAGCAGGAAACGTTTGGCCGCTTATCTCGCGGTATCTGGACATCGCGGCAGGTGAAGCATTTAAATAATATATCGAACAGGTGAAATAACAGCTGTTCGTCCGCCCCTCCACACGGGACGCGTGAACAACTTTGTAGATGCCGCGAGAACTCTCCTTTTTTTTTCTTTTTCTCCCTCTCTCTCCCTCTTCTTTTTCATCGAAATTCGCCATCCACCTTTCAATTTCCTCCAGTCCTTCCTTCGTCCAATTCTTTCCGACTAATCTCCCCGAGCTAAGATTCCAAAGCATCAGAATTAAAATTCCCTCTGAACCACGAATCACGTTATATTATCATTAGATCAATTTCACAAAATTCTCTCTCCTTCGATTTTTCTTTCATTGATCTTTTCGAGTTTTTTTTGGAAATCCGATTAAATTTTTTCCCCGAATCCTTCCTCAAAAATTCCTCAAAATGCAAAATGAAATCCGTTCATCCTCCGAGGAACGGATCCTCGGAAGATTGACCCGGATTTCCTCGTCATTCACAGCCGAATCCGAGGAATCCGAGGCGGTTTGTCGCGGCCGACGATCCGATCGACGATCCGTCTCTCCGTGGTCAAACGGCGGTGGTTGTCTCGACATCGGTTCTGCGGGAAACCTTCTGGGCGGTGGGGAGGAAGGGAGAGAGGGAGGGAGAGGGAGAGTGTTCGCGAAGGAAGAAGAAGGAGGAGAAGAGGCCGAGACTCGGATAGATATGCGGCCGATGGGGGAGAGGGAGAAGGGGAAAGGAGAGGGGACGTTGGGCGCGAGGGAAGGGAGCGGAGCGAACGAGGAAGAGAGGGGATGGAGAAAGAGAGAGAGAGAGAAGGAGCTCGTCTCGAAAGAGGAACGCAGAGGGTGGAACGCGGAGTTGGAAGTGGGGGGAGCTCGCGAGTGCGGGGAGCGAGAAGGGAGCTGGAAAGGGAGGGGAGGGAAGGCAGCTGCAAGCACGGAGTAGCGTGGCCTCTGGTGCGGGGGAGAGAGAGCGTGCGGTGGGTAGAGGAGGACGGGAGCAGTGTCATGGAGGCCAGTGTCTGGCTGGTGGCTGTCCGTCGCCCTGCTCCCTTGCCTCGTTACCTGACAGCGCTCCTCAGTGTTTCCAAAGCCGCGTCCGCCGATGGGTCGAGCCGCGATCCTCTAGTGAGCTCCTCAACCTCGCCACGCTCGGATCCCACCACCACGTCGCCGATAAGAAGTGGAACCGAATCCGGGATCCGGTTGATCGTCCGCGGAATCCATCCCGACGTGTCCTGGCCAATCGGAAACGGAAGCTGTGCGTGTCGCGAGTACACGGTTTCCGAAGGGAAACGGCGGGTGAACGAAGAAGAACGATATATATATATATATATATATATAGAGAGAGAGAGAGAGAGAGAGAAAGAGAGAGAAGGCAAGAGAGAAGAGGAGCGGAGTGTAAGAGGGAGATAGAAGAGAGAAAGAGGGAGGAAAGTGACACGTTACGATACGATCGATCCAACGACCAAAGTTATAACGTGCGTTTAAAACGAACACGGGTCCGAAAACGCGATCGGGACAATGTGCTCGTGACAAGAGGGAGCGCTCTTTTCTCTTTCTCTCTCTCGTTCGTCACAGCCGAGCCGTTTTAAGTTTCTCGTGCACGTTCATCGGTGAAAGAAAGAAAGCTAACTAGATTCTTTCTCTTTCGACGACGACGACGACGAGGACGACGACTGGCAAGCGAAGGAAGAATAGGAAGAGGAAGAAGAAGAAGAAGAAGAAGAAGAGGAAAGAGGAGGAGAAGGAAGAGGAGGAGGAACGCGCAACATCGAGCGAAGAAAGATACACCCGAGGAGCCCGAGGAGGAAACGGATAAAACGTGGGCGTTGAGTGATTGTTGTCGGTGCTAGTTTCCATTGGGAGTCATGAGAGATACCAGCGATATGATGTCGGAGGACTCCTTGTCCGAGGTACGTAATAGATGATAAAGTCGGTCTCGTTTCGTTTTCCTTCTTCGCTGTTTCATTCTTCGCTCCCGGTCTTTTCCATTATTCGACATTTGATCGCGACACGAAAGGAGAATTCCCTGTCGATTTCGAGAAGAATCAAAACTTTAGAAGACAATTTAGAATTTCGACAGAGAAATGATGGAAAAATCGTGACTCGTTTGCGTCAGAACGACGATTTAGAAATACATTGTGCACCGTGTACAGTGGCCCGTTTATAGGGGTCCCGGAAAGGAAACGCGTCCCACCTCGGTCTCCCGGCTTTCGTTTCCACCGGTACTTATCGTTATATTTCATCCGCAATTTAACCTCATCCTCCAAACTTTGACAATGTTCGTTTGTTGCAAAAAATTTCTCTTCTTTTCCCTCGTTCGTACTCCCACTCTTCCATTTTTTATTTCCCTCGATTTCGAATTTCACTTTATCGATATACACTCGGCTAAATTATAATTCAAAGGAACTTTTATCTATACTCGCAGTTTGCATTCGACGTGTTTGACGTCGAATTTGACGCATTTTTCGCGTCGCGTAAATTAAGATACGATTAAATTTTCCACGTATACAAGGAAAAGGGGATCACGAATCCAATACCACTATCGGTTCTCCCGGTATCTTCCTCACCGGTACGTATGTAAATTTGCATTCGTTTTATGTTCAAGATACTCGTCCCCGTTTTCTATAGGTTCCCTTATATACGTGCATTTTATTCGACTCTTTGGCCGGGCTCCTTTTACCCACGGGGGAATAGAATTTGCTCTCAATTTTCTCGACTCTACTTTATCGAAGATGGAACAAATTTTCTCTTCAACCCGGATTGCACGAGATATCTCGCGATTCCGTGGAAAAATAGAGGAAGCTCTTCCCTTCGCGGAGTGTATCGTTAATTTTTTTCGGCTCGAAAGGGGAAAAAAGAAAAGGATTCAGTTTTAAAAGGTGACGTTATTTAAAGCTCGCCACTAATTAAGAACTTCAACGTTGCGACAATTCGTTTTTGGAGGAAAACAAGAAAGCTTTTAATCGATTAAAAAAATGTCTAACGTTGCGATAAATCGGTTATCTTTCTGTTCAAACCGGAAGAAAACTCAATCTTTGAGTAAAAAAGAAAAAGTTTCGAGTATACGTATAATTTTCTTCGTAGAATTCGTTCTTTCGAAAAAAAAAAAAAAAAAAAAAAAAAAAA